AAAAAAAAAAAAAAAAAAAAAAAAAAAAAAAAAAAAAAAAAAAAAAATCCACACGTATGCAAAGCTATGTTAACCAATGAGGAGAAATTTCCCCACCTTGTAAGAACTGGGGAGGCGGTCAAACTTCTCGACGGTGTTATACACAAACCAAACTGCTGATCGCTACGGAGATTCCCCAACAGGGTTGCTGTGCGACATTTTAAATGGCTCACTCATTGTGGCACGACCGCACAGCAGACAAGTGTTCACGCTTATATGTCCATGGTGCTAATAATATACAGAAAGGAACCACGCGTCATGTCGCCCTCTGCCCCCTGCCTGTGAACGGCTGAGGAATTGGTCCCATGAGGGGTGGTTCCGTTGCATATTATACTCCTGATGAACGAGGTGGCCCTCACTCAACCATCGCTGCGTGAAACGCGTATTCGTACATTATCCGTTCTGCGTAATTGTGGGACAGGTACACACCAGCAGGTGCAGGGAGAAACTTCGCCTCCCCTGAGTGGTTGTCGCTTCCCCCCTGCAGAAGACTGCCAAGATGGGTTTGCTGCGCCCCAGGGAAAGAGTAATCGTGAACGCCATCCGGCGGGAGAGCCGGATAAAGTACAAGGGAAAGCGCATGCACAAGCGTTTTCGGTCATGGGCGCAACAGAGAGTGAGGGAGTACTGGCTACCCATGAATGTATGCCTAACAAGTCAAACCAACTTGATGGACGGACAGTACATATCGGCATGTGTGCAAAAAGCAGCAACGTTAAGAAAGCATGATTATGAATTGTGGAAAGGATACACGGAGAGAATCTTAACAATACGTGACACATTAACACCGCAGCAAGTTGGATATATATTTTATGGAATGGGAAAAAGTCGATTTTTAAACCCTCCTTTTTATGAACAAATGTTAATATGTGTGCAAAAAAAATTAAATGCTTTTTATAGCCACCCGTTAATGTGCATTGCATGGTCATTAAACAGAGTTCTCATCAGAGAAGAAGAATTTTTCAACCATTTCTGTAAAGCTGTTGTGGACAAGTTTGATGACATGCGTGTAAAAGATTTAGTAAAAGTAAATAACGCAATTGCAAAGTTGGGAATTGAAAATAAAAATTATAAAAAATTTATAAACAGCCATATGATTAACAAACTGGAAACAATTTTTGCTCAAGATTTTCGTAACGTAATTAATGATGTTACTTTGGTTAACCTTTACGACGATGAAGTTAAAAAATATATTTTAATCCGATTTAGTAATATGTTTATATGTGCTAGACCGCAACATTATAAAAGTGCTTATAAGTCGGCAGTAGCCGTAAGGGTGTTATTTCCTCATGTGTGGAGTGCCCTTTCCAATAAGGTAAAAAGTTTTTATGTACGACTCAGTATGCGAAGGATCCCAGAGAGCACGAGAAAGCCATCGGAATTTCAATGGGAAGTTTCTAACTGTCTTGCCAAATTAGGTGTGAGTCATAGGAACACCTTTCTTTGGGGATGCTATTATATAGACATTGGTGAAATGAATGAAAAACGAAACTGCTGGTTCGTTGATGGACCTTCTTGCTTTTATACTTGCACAAATCAGTACATTGAAAGTGTAAAGCTACAACATAGGATTCTTTACGACTTGGGGTGGAACATCAGGAGAATTGTGTGGATCGATTGGTTACAGCTTGCTGATGACTGGGATGAGAAAGTGAAGTATGTAAAGGCCTTGAGGGAGAAGGACCCCCTTGGAAAAACTCTAACCCACATGCCACCTATCTCTGCTGATGAAATTAAAAATAAGCTGAACCAACTGAAGATGTATAAAATTCGGAAGGAACAGCAGAAGGTGGACAACCAGGAAATGATTCACCTCACGCTATGAGACAGCGCCACGTTCACCTCTGTCACACATTTACAATGCCACGCGGGGAGAAGCTCCAATTTTTTTTGTAATTCAAAATTTACCGCAGTTTAAAAAGGACGCCTCGAACGAGCGATGTCGCGGAGGTAATTTTTGTTTAAAAAAATTTATGAAAAAAAAAAAAAAAAAAAAAAAAAATAGGAGTCTACATAACTGGACAAAAGTGACAAGAATAAATTTCCCTACTTTGCATAACCAATTGGGAAATTGTTTTTTTTTTTTTTTTTTTCCTTACATTTTTTTTTCCCATACTTTTAAGACACATTTGGGG